ATCCCTTCCCTCCATGCCTTGTCCTGCGTTTCCCGGACTTTTAGTTTCACTTCCTTGTAAAATTTACTTAGAAGTGGACGTCCTTCGTTAGTGTATACCACGGGTATTCCCCCATCAAGGTATTTTTTACGTAGGATCTTCAAACGTTTGACTGCCTCGGTGTATGTGTCGGTCAGTGCCATCATTGACAGGATCGCTCTCGGCCATCTATGTGCCTCCATTGAACTTATCCTAGTGAAATACCGGATCCTGCTCTGAGCTTCTCTTGCCTCGAATGATGACCAGTCTATTTCTTCCTGGATGAACTCGTTGGCTACCTTGTATCCCGCAATGCCCAGAGCCCATCGACCCGCAGACATCTGCGTCTTTTCGAAGTGAGCATTCAGCGCTCTTTGGTTCCTCGAGGCTAGTTCCGCATTGGCGTATGTCAGCGTCGGAACCGATATCTAAATCAGTTGCCGAAACATGGGCAGACTCGGCAGAGAGGACAGACTCATTGAGCTTCGAGAAATCTGCAGTTATACCATAGTATCTGTATAGCGGTTGGTCAATCAGGAACTGAAGCCAAGATTCCACGGGTGATTTTTTCACGAAGCCACTCAAATACGAAGACTTGTGAATGATGTTCTTTTTGAAATTCACGTTAAAAGCGTAGTCGTCATCAAGTGACCGTGGCAATGACAGAACCATGGTATTCACATCGACGGGCACGTTTATGACTTGCCCGACTATGCCGTAGCAACCATTACGATGTAAACGACGGATCTGCATGTATGGTATCCGCGGTGACACGAGACGTTCCGATAGAGGATCTAATTTCAGCAAGTACGTCGGCTTCGCTGGATATTGATATCCATTGGTCTTACTGAGAGGCGGGATTTTAAATTTCCGACACACTCTGAAACAATTACCGCATAGCCCGTGGTATCCTCGTTCTCGAAATAATGGTCTCGCAGAAACATCGCCATACTAGGATTCACTGTTTCGAGATCGCGGAGAAACCAGAGGCGATCGCAGACATCGCATTTATGCCCGAACTCGTTGTGAAGGAACATATTTTTGAATCGCTGCGTCGCCCTTTTCTACCTATATTCGTAAGCCGCATCCCTCGTGCATTCGGTACCTCCATCGAAATTCGCAGCATTATTTCTGAGGACACCCAGCTCGTTTCGACTATCGCTATCCTGACGCATGAAATGTACCGATTCTTGCTGACTCAAATTTCCATCTTCAGGGATCGAACTCAGCGCACCAAGATCTCCCGTTTTGACCTCTGGTGACTGGGCCATTGCACGACGACGAGCACGATTTTCGCGGGATCTTTCCGTTGATGTCTTCGGCCGTTTCGCAGCTGCTTTAGACTGCCCTATATTTTCAGCTGCTGTTGCTTTCCGCTTCATTCGCATGATGCTACTTGTCTTCGGTCTCATGGCGAACACCAAGGAATGAAGTCCTCTTGGGAGACTCAGCTGCACACTTCGGTATAATCTATCGAATCTCGGCGAAACCTCCGTTTCCAATTGCGGATAGACGAGCTAATCTCCACTCGTAACCCTGTTCGATTCAAGATCCTCCTCCGATCAGAATCCCAAGTGCAAGAAACTTTTTTGATATGCGGTCTGAAAGTAGATAAAGAAAACCTGCATAGCCGCTGCGGTTTTCTCCACCAGAGCAAGGGACAGGTATCCCTACGAGTTAGATTATTCCCCGGACAAGCAGTCTTGAGTCACTTAAAGTCCGTGTCGTCGCCGATATACATCAGAGTCTTACTTCCATTCAATTGCTTGAGCCGACCATTCTTCCCCTATTCTGGAAAACAATTATTTATGCGACTGAATAGAGGTTTTCGTGGGTCGACAGAAATTGTCTAATGGGACCTCTTTCTCAGCTCGGTTCCGGACGAAAATTCATTGGAACAATGTCCCGTGAATTTACAATCTTCCGATCCAATCCTCGTGATAATCCGATTTCTATCAGTGGAGATCCAGCCCCGCAAAAGCGGACTAGATTTCGTTGCATGGAGGACGGCGTTTCTTTGACTAAGCTACTGGAGACATTTTAAGGACGTTTTCACGTCAAAAGATTCGGATTCGATTAAATCTGTCCGGGTACATATGCGACGCGCGCACCACGAGCTGTGTGGCCGGGAAGCCGAGACGAGCGGAAACCGATGGAGGAGATCCGGAAGTCGTGAATATTCGCATTGATTGATTATCATATTATTTATTATTGATTATTGTTATTGTGTCGAGCCAAGCTTTTCCGATCACTGGTTCCGAGGATATTCGTATCTCTGTCCCGCATTTTCTGTCAAAAGCGTCTAAGCATTCGACTCGACTTTGAGACGGTAACTCGATTCGTAGCTGGAGTTCTTGTTGTATCCAGTCGCTTCGACAGCCGGATGGCCGTCGCGTCGCTCGGTGCGCTCATTCGTTTTTCCGTCTGTCACATCAATCAGTCCCCGCGCGTTCTCGCTTCCTCGGGTTACCACGTCCGCTGGACCTTAATAATGAGAGTTATACACTCTAATTGAATAGCTGTAGACTACCAGACGTCTTAGTTTGCCGGCTGTCCGCCGTTCTCTCGGAAAGCCTGTAACACCGCCTCGCCGACTCCAATGACCCCCGTGCTCCGAATGAGAACAGACATCACGGAGAGATTTCATAAGGAGAGCAGAGCTCGACTCTCTTTTATTTCACATCAGCTGGTACATGGTTTCATTACGGAGAATCGCTCGCACTGCTCCTCAGGCAGTCGGAAAGTTTCGCCGAGTCCAGCGAGATCCCGTAGAATTGCTTGATGCTCATTATTTCCTCCTGTGAAAGCTCCCGTCTTATTTCGAAATATACGAGTCCGGGTTCTCCATTATTGCAATCCAGCGATGCGACGTAGCTGACGTCGGCATTCTGTGTGAGGAACGACGGAGACGATTAAACGAATTGAGCTTCGAGGGATAAATCGAAGGGTACGAGACAAATGACCGGCCATTGTCCGAAGGTTAAGGCTCTCGCTCGTCGGCTCCTTCCGATGGTCTCTGTCCCTAGCCGGTCGTGTCAGAACCGACCGTCATATTCGCAAATATTGTCAGGGTAGGTGGTAGAGCTCAAAAAGTCTAGTTTTTGAAGACAGAGATCGCATACCTTGTCGTCTGAGAGTTCGATGGCAGCGTTCGAGTAGAACATGTAAGCGCCGTTGATTTTGTCTCCGGGACTCTTCTCGATCCGCAGACAGCGCGAATCCGTCCCGCAGGTCACCATCGAAGCTTCGTAACTCCCAACTCCCGATACGTTCCCAATTAGCTTTGTTCCGCTGTCTCCGGCTTCAATTTTGAGCTCGTACGGAAGATAGGCGTCTTGTCCAGCGAAGAAAGCACAAGATTTCCGGTTCACCGGGTTGATCAAGTTCGAGAAAGCATCCTTGTATAGCATTCCCCGACATCTGCGCTGCAGCAAGTCCCCTCCTGGGACGTCGGAGGATGCGAAACTTACTTTCGCGGTCAACACCAACAATGCTGAAACTGGAAATCATGTTCTTGGAGGAGCGAGTCACAACATAGAATTTCCTTGACATGAAATCCTCAGGAGTCGCCAAGCGAATATCTTGAGTTCGATCATCAGCCTTCCTTCTTGTACTCGCAGAGCGATTCGTCCGAATTCCCGCACCTCTCGAAGGCCAAGTCCAAGCCCTAGATCCTTCTTACTTTTACTCTGAACTACGAAGTATCCTCTCATCGTCGGTAACAATGTCTAGTATACAGAAATTATGGCTGGGAGACACGACTACATTGAATCTGCGTCATCACATCCTCGGCGATCGCCTCAGAGACAGTAGCGTATCCATCTCGGGGCTGTATGGGCCTATAGCTTCCCTCCCCCAGGACATTGTCTCTTTATGATGAAGTATAGGAGCGGGTCGCCATTCTGGATTCCTAGCCCCATACAGATCAGAAATCAGCCCCCTTCCCCCGGGGAAAAATACTTGGTACGCCCCTGCTCACAGAAAGTCATCTGGCCGGAATAACTCTCCCACTGCCTTCGAAAAGAAGAATTTGCGGTGGCAATCTTGAACGAGTCGTTACTTCGCGAGCCATGGGCAGCTCACCATCACCGTCCTGGTTCATTCAGTCTCCACTCTCTGTATAGCGGATCATGCATCTCACATGGAGTCTTAGAAACCGCCGAACTAGGATCCCAAGCTCGCTTGATCACCGGAACTCAGTTTCGTACTCACAGATCGAGCCGTTCATATTCCCGCGCCAATCTCACCGAGAATACTCGTTCGAGAGTTGCGAAGATGTTCCTCTCCAAGTCCTCTCTCAGTACTCAAGGGAGAGACGACACCGTCTCTATAGCGATCAAGACTTTTAACGGGAAACTGTAACAACGTCCTCATTCGGGTTATCGATCTTCCCCATTCAGGCTCACTGATGGCCTACGGAGAGCAAAACAGCACGACGGCGATTTTCTGATACCGCAGATCTATTCAGCTGTTGATTCAATGAAGGGCGACAGAGGTGGGTCCAATGATGTTCTTGATAGATGTAGCTCTTCATTAGGAGTCAATATATGCGAGAGGAAGAAGACGATGACAAGACTCGCTAATAATGAAAATGGAGTCGCTGAGGTCATTGGACAACGCTCAGCACGCGTAATCAAGATTCGACCAGAGACAGAGAATACTGGAAAGTAGTCTGGCTCCGTCATATCGCTTCTGCGATACGCACGGTGGATCCGTTTCCTCTCTCTATCTGACCATCGCCACGATCGCATCCGCAGTATCGCTGGTGATTCATGCCGACCGAGCTCTCCCCGTCGGGGGCCTCATGCTGTTTTCCTCGACAGTGATTATTTCTATCTCCTTCAGTAGGTCGTTCCGAACCTTCGAGAATGAACGCTTGCTTGAGCGTGACCTTGGATTGGATTCACCCGTTGATTAAAATGACTTCCGTCCCTCCCGAGTAACGCTTTATTTTGAGAAATTGTGCGAAAGTGGGGTTCTCCGTGATCTTGATTCGCGCTCGATAAGGGAATTTCCAGGAATGTCTGGAATGTTTTCTTAATTTCCCAGAGAGAAAGACGAATGTCGATGCTGAAAATGTTGTCCTGCACATTACTCTCGAACCGCCCAGATCGATAGCGTGTTTCTTTTTGATCTCGCTTTGCCCGGGAGGGTGGACATATTTTCGCTCCCCATCGAAATAGGAAGATACTCTTCGTAATGTCGACCCGTATTGTTGTCGAGTCCCCGGCGTCCAAAATGGAGTCCCAGCCGGGAGGAAGTCTGTGGAATCACTATAGCGCCGAATTCTGCTTCAGAGAACAATACCAGACCTCGGGAGCTCCCAAAGCGGGTCTACTGTATTTCTGATTACGAGTTTCGAAGCCCCGCCGCGATGTTGGTCCGGAAATACATGAAGCGCATCTCCAAAGTGGGGAAAAGTTGTCTTTCGAGACGCAATCTTCGATTCCTGGCAGGACGCTGATCGAAAAATTCACGTAACAGACGAAGTAAACTTGATTTACTCATGTGACTTAGATACTCAGAAATTCAGTCTTAAGCAGCCAATAATCCGCCCCTCTGACAGCACCGATCAATCGTTGGTCCTATCTGAACAGTCAGATCCAGCGTCCAGTTTTTGTTCAAACTTTCGTAGCGCGTTCGCAGCCACCACCACCGGTGCTGTTTTTGTGGCCGGAGGTCAAACTGGATAGAGGCCAAATATTGTGAGAACTTTTCTTTTTTCGTTTCCTAGGGCGAGTGGCATGTTTGCAAGCAGTGTGTTCCCTGACCCACAGCCGCCCGGTAGATCGACCGTTCGGTTTTTCAGTGGAGGGAAGCTGTGTTTGGACGTAGCTTTTCTACTCGAGTTTTCCTTTGTTCTACCCGGGTTTCCCGGCGTCGTTCGGTGTGCCGGAAGAGCGGACCACCCCGCGCCGTTCCGTTGGGAGGGCTGTCTTCCGAATGGCAGAAGCACGAGATAAGGAAGTCGCTAGGGGCTGGAGGAGCCGAAATTTTCGGCAGAGAGCAGACCTTCGGCTCCGAGTCGAAAGACTTATTTTCTTCTCATTCGCATCGAGATTTGAGAGAAGAACTGAGAGGCTCTTTCCCCGAAGACCTCCCTCGATTTCATTCCTCAACGTGCGGGAATAACAGAATGGCGTACTCTCATCGCTCCTCGTTCCACGCCGTGCGAGACTTGCTCGTCAACGAAGCCCGGTTCGTGCACTGGCGCTATATCCCGAGGATGTCGACTCCCGTGTAAACACGGTAAAGTGCACGGCACGCGCTGCGTGTCTTCCCTTACCCTGTGACACTGTGTCTTTCAAAAAGTTCAGAAGCAACAACAACGGAAGCAGCAGCACCATCGTCGTCGACGGCACCGGTAGTGACAATGACAACGACGACGACAACGATAATGCCGCTAATTAATGAGGTGTCTGTCAATCGAGCCGAGCGACAAGTTCGGGTACTCGTTCCGAGCTAATTCCGCATTCTTCCGTCTCCCTCGTTCATCCATTGTGCTCTGAGTAGAGACTCCCCGCGCTCATGCGCGTCCATCGAGTTCCCGTAAGCGCTCCCTTTCCGGGATAAGAGGGAGTCGGATTGACGGCAAATGGACACTCTCCGGTTGAGGGGAGCCGGCTTCCGCTGAGGCGGCGTCAGATACGATGACGACTTCAGACACATCAGTGAGTATTCCGAAACACTTTCCATGAGCCGTCCCGAACATATTTCTCCGCCTTTTTCCAGGAACAAACTTTTCCCCTAGATCCTGAGACCCTCTCCCCGTCCTGTTCGCGAATTCCGGAACGGAATCGCATTCATGGGGCGATGGCTCGTATTGCCGCTTCATCGCCGATGAATATCGATTGGGAAGGGAGTTCCACCGCGCCGTGAGACCTCCTCCTCCTCCGGGGCCGCATTATGTCGGCCGCAGCAGCGAAATTGAGATGGTCACTCACGTGTAACGCCGAACTTACGTGCCGTGTATGTCATCTGAGCCACCGAGCAGCATTAGCTGAAGTCTTGATGTACTATCCGCTGTGGGAGAATGCCGTGCGCATGATAACGGATAAAGACTCCATCGCGTACGCAACTGTTCACCGTAATATTCTCGGCAGAGCAAGCTCGGCTCCATGCAATTATGAATAGCGAAGAAATTCATCCATTCTGATCCATTAGCGAGACATATGTAAGTCCTTAGTGAGGGGTGAGCTTCAAGGAAGGTCTGGCACTGTCAAGAGGAGAGACACCGGAGCGAGGGCGCAGCTTGAAGTCTGAAAAACTGGGACGGTAGGAATACTTTTGGAGAATCTTGTTCTTCGGATTATTATCCACGGTCTGGAGGTTTCGAGATGAATTCCTCCGTTTCCGTAAAGGCGTTAGTCCGCAGAGGGAATCGATCTTCCCGTACACTGTATACGAGACGAATCTCGGAGTGCGTGTAGGTGAGAAGTTTTCCCGTGAAGATTCCCATCGATCCTCGAGTTTCCCGCATGGGAACCGAGCGGCGGAGCCGTCGTTCAGTCGGACGGGAGAGTTTCTCGGGAAACTTGTCTGCCTCGGAGTACGAGATGTCATTCGAACAGCACAATAGACGCGAGAGAAATGGAAAAATGCCGCATTCCGATCCAGAGAAGCGTGCCAAATTCGTTTCTCACTGAGACAGCCTTAGACAAGACGGACGAGAGGCAGACCAATCATCTCGAGTCGGAAAAGTTTCGACTCGACTCCTTCCCCCCGAGGGCTCATCTCCTCGCTGACGAGTCCGAAGCTCCGACATTGAAGACCTCGTTCCGCCCGATGAGCCAGCAGGCTAAAGTCTCTGCGGACGAGATGCGGTCCCGCCAAGCTATCAACGGAGCTGACGGGAAAACTAGTAATTCCTGCCGAATGTTCGTCGATCTGGAGAGTAGCGCGTCGCAAATCAACGATACCTCGATCTCTGATTCATCCTAGGGGAGTGACTGCGAACAACAAGCTAATTCCGAATCGGGGAAAGGATGAAGTTCGGCGCCATCATCGTGGTCACTGGGAAAAGCTGCGGGCGTTTGCCGGAGCGGGAAGCGCCGCAGAGGAGAGATCCAACAGCGATCGAGCACGCAGTTATTTGTTCCCACAAAAAAGGGGATTCTCCGAGAGGAAGTTCATGTGGAGCTTCATCCCTATGATCTCGGCGATTTTCGTGACGCCTCCGTCCGACACGCTAGATTCTACTCGTACTCGTGAACTCTCGGGGAATGGTGGGCTGATCAGAGAGCACCCGATCTTTGTCGAGCAGTGCAATGCTGAAGCGTGGACTATGTTGGCAATTAAGCCAGAATAAGGACTTTGACGACGGAAAAACTTTCGATTGGCGCAGGACAAGGTTCCCAGTAGTCGGTGCACGGAGCGGAAGACTAGCTTCCGAGTTCGCTCCAGCACAGAGTTCGCCCTTGACCCGAGCTCGGCGGTGTTTGTATTCGAGGGCGCTCGATGCCGCCGGACCTCAAAGGTTGTCACGCCGATTGGCCCACTAGTTTGCTTTCGAGCTCACCATCATGCTTAGCGAGTTACCACGCAACCGAGCAAACGAAAGCGAGTGTGTCTGCCATCAGAATGCGGGAGTGACTAACACGCTCGTTTGTTGCCGAGTGCCTAATGAGTTTTCCGGCGGCGCGAATTTTTTTCGTGACGCGTCTGATGATCTTTCGTTCTAATTAGACATATCATGCCCGGGGACGGATTTGGAAATGAGGCGCCCCTCACTGAATCGAATGATCTTCGTGCTCTAGGCCGTACGTTACAAGCGAATTAATCATCCAGTTATTCAGCTCGTCGCTCAGAACCGACGACTGCCGGTCGCGCCGTCGATCTCCCGTCGCGTCGGTCCGATAAGCCGTTGATCTCCTAACAAGCCGCGTGTATCTGTATTCGATGATGAGGAACTCAGCCAACCTCGGTTGAAACATCAGCCTGGAGTCCTCACGGAAACTTCGCCGAAACTTCTGCTGGCTGGCTCCGTTTCCGCAAACTACCGTCGGATGAGCGCGGGGGCGTGGTGGAAGCTCAAATATCCGGTCTGAGACTGGGTGAGGGAAAGGAGAACCTATACACCAACTACCGGTCATGGACGGGCAGGGGACCCTCGAGGGCCGATTGCGACCCCCTGCACTCAATGAGATTGGACTTCGAAAGAAATAACGACCTGCTCGCTATCTGACGCGAGGACCTACTCCTGCGAATTTTTCTCCCGTGTAGACGGAGGCGGAGCGCCAGGTGCCGGATGCCCACGTTC